AGCATCTGGTAGATGGCGTCCGTGGTATACAGCATCTCGTTCTGGGTTATCCAGGTCATAGGGCTTGAAGGCCCACCATTGTGTCCAAGGTCTCCCTGGAGATCACCAACAGTGCCCCTGGATGAACTCGGAAAACTCAACCCTCTCAGAGAAACTTTCGAATTTTTGAAATTTGTTGCCAATGATGCCAATATTTTGGAAAGCTGGAAACCTCTGTGTACTTCAGGCCCGTAGTCCCTCAGACCACACTAAGATGGCACTGTGTGAGACCCCCTCCTCCCTAATCCTAGTAGGGCCCGTTCCTTCAGGCAGGTACCTGGTCACTAATCCACCTCGGCTCCCAAGCCCTCCTCACTCCTTCCTGGGGGTTCGCTTCAAGCCTGTCGGGACCCAGGGGGCATGTAGATTGCAGTCCACCCTCTAACCTAAGGTCTCAATATTTGAGGGTCTCTGAGATCTGCTGTCGTCCAACACCTGGTGAGTCAGAGAGCCCCAGTTCCTTTGTCCTCACTTAAATTATATTGACTTTCACTGCGATCCAATACATGGGCCAAATGTAGTCTAAAAGATGTCAAAATGCTTATTTGGGATTTCATCATTCCTCAAACAATTTCACTAATTTTCTTCTCTCCATATTTCATCAACCAATATTGGAGATTGTGCATAAATTAGGGAGAAAGATGAAGCTTTCTACTCTGGTATCGAGTTACAGTCTTGGTAACTCTCAGGGGCAGTTCTACCCAGTTCTATGGGGTCGCTATGAATTGGACTCAATTCAATGGGAGTGAATTGGGTTTTAGTTTCTTGGCATATGTATTAAGAAGGAAGGGGTCCTAACGTCAGGAAGGAGCCAGCCAACATTCGGGGGCAAATTTGCATGAGGCTTGAAGCCTGGCCTGGAATGGCACTTCTCAGGGCTCATAGTGATGGCTACAACACTTTCTGCTTTTGATTATGAATAGTATAACAAGCACCTTTTCAGATCCCTGGATGCACCAAGGTTTGTTAATAAAGAAGGTTTTAAGGAGACCACAGATGAAAAAAGCGCAATATAGAATTATATGCATAATAATGATTATGCTAAACCAAACGCCCTGACAGCAGCCAGTTCTGAGACCCTAGAGGACAGTGTCGAGCCGCTCCAGGGGGTTTCTGAAACAGGTACTGCTTACGGGAGTGAACGTCTCTTTTCCTCCCTCTGAGTGGCTGGCGATTACAAAGTGCCAACCTTGTCCTATCATATCACCCACTGTGCCACGGGGGCTCCTAGGGTAGTGGCTGCAACTGTAAAATAACCTCTATGAATGTCAAGGGAAAAAGGCTCGAAGTAAATGAAAGTGTTTGAAAGCAAGATTCTCTGTGATCCCGAACATCTGAACACAGCACCTGGCAAATCAGGGGCACTCAGTAAATATTTCTAGAATGAGTCCGTGAATGAAATGCTGCAGGACGGCAGAGGTCATAGGATGCGGAAGAGGACTTTTGTTGGTTCTGGGCTCTCAAATTTCCAGGCTTTCTTTTGCCTGCTTATAGTATACTTATGATTATAGATGCATGTCTTTAGATATGTGGTGCAGTGGGTTATGCCTTGGACTGCTGACCACAAGGTGAGCAGTTCAAACCCACCATGCAGTTCCCAAGAGAAAGATGAGGCTGTCTCCTTTTGGAGAAATGTTCCAGTGTCGGGAGCCCCAAGGAGCAGTTCTACTCTGTCCCAGATCAGAGTCATAATGGCAGTGGGTTTTTGCTTGTTTTAGATATGCGTGGAGTTCCTTCATTTATTTATGCATACCTTCAATAGCATCTCTAAGCATCGTTCTAGAGAGTGAGGATAATAGGCAAACGTTCTTCTTGGAGCAACAGTGGGGTACAGACAATCAATAAGATGTGTAAGTAAAATTGAAATTAGATACTGAGGAACTACGGGGGCCATGGGCGAGGTGGGTGAATCTGGAAAGGAAGTCAGGGAGTGAGTGGCTACAGGACAGCTTCACCAAGAAGGTGACAACCTAAGACGGACCTTGAGGAAGAGGAGGAAGCCACGGGGCTCTCTGTGGACTCCTGGCTACATCTCCCTCCTGTACCCTCAAGACCTTAGCCTTTCACCTGGGTCTCTTTTGCTGCCTCTGGTCAAGACACTTTGGAAACAGTCTAGAGAAGACAGCAAGGATCCTTCTTGTCCATCCTGTTTTCCTGCTTCAGGAACTGTCATTCAAAACCACAGTGGTGGCAGAACTACTAAGAAACTTCTTCCAACTTAAGAACCTGGGACTCAAATGGCAGGCAGCAAACCCCCACAGACGCCAAGTTGCGATGGAAGCCACCTTTGTCTGAACCTAGATTTTCTTCTCACTAAACTGGCTCTCGGGCTTAACTAAAGGGATGGGCTTGAGAGCCCTGGTCCTTCAGCGGCTTCTCTCCTCTCCTGCCTTTCCGCCTGGCTTCTCTCCTTTCCTCACTGATAACAACAGGCAGTTGGGCCAGAGAAGATTTAGCTCCCTTCTATCTCTCTATGTCTGCAGCTGTAGGTCGATGAGATCAGCTCACAATAGGGTC